CCTCCCCCCCACCAGCCCCCCCCCCCTTAACCAGGACCAGGTTCTGGGGTGGGGAGGGGGGAGCTGGGGTGGGTGCTGGGGGCACCCAAGTGGATGGGAAGCACCCTGGGGGGGTGCAATGTGGTTGTGTCTTCCCGGATGGGTCCTGCTGGGGACACATCCCCCCTGCTGGTGGGGGGGACAAGGTCAGGGGGCAGCACTGGGGACCCTGGAGGGAGGGCTGGGGTCTGGCTCGATGGCACTGCCTGTCCCTTAGCCATGGGGAGGTGACAGGGAGTCAATCCTGGCTGCCCCTGCCCTGCCCACCCCCTCGGGAAGGGAAGCAAACAACCCCTCTTTGTGCCTCCCCCAACAATCCAGGGCTGAATCTTCCAGGATTTCTGCTGCTACCTCCCCCTCTGCCAGGGAAACTGAGGCACAGCAAGGTTTGTCCCAGCTCTGGCAGTGCTGAAGGGCAGGCTGGATGGGGCTTGGAGCAGCCTGGGCTGGTGGGAGGTGTCCCTGCCCAGGCAGGGGGTTAGATCTAGATGATCTTGAAGGTCCCTTCCCACCCAAACCACCCCGTGGTTCTATGAAGGTGTAAGGCTGAGGTTTTGGGAATGGTGGGTCCCAACTCCAGCTTCTCTGTTAGGGGCAGGAGCCAAAGAAAATCCCAGTGACCCCACCAAGCCAGGGTAGAAATCCCAGGGCAAGAACTGGAGAGGGTTCATGGCTCCTGAACCTCAGCAGAAAAAAGATCTGGCTGCAAGAGAAATAAATAGGAGATCTTTTGGCAACAGGTCATTGGCCCCAAATGGGACTTGGGGTCAAGGGCATGAGACAATGAACCCCCAACACCAGCCCAGCCCATTGCTGGGTTCATGAGCAGGAGGGACAGGGGGACAGAGCTTGGGAGGGATGGGGACAGAGAACCCAGGAGGAACAGGGTGACAGACAAGAGCCCAGGAGGATGGGGACACAGTAGGGACAGCTCAAGAAGGACAGGGGACACAAATCCCAAGAGGATGGGGACACAGAGCCCAGTAGGGACAGAGCTCAAGAGGGACAGGGACACAGAGCCCAGGGGGACGGGGACACAGACAGAGCCCAGGAAGGGCAGGGACACAGAGCCCGGAGGGACAGGGACACAGCAGAGCCCAGACCCGCCGCGTCAGAGCTCTCAGGAAACATCTCTCTATACGTACAGCTCATCCACCCCACCCAGCGGGGTGAGGGCAGACTGCAGGCTTCAGCCTTCCCCACCCTGTCGCGACAGGTCAGCCCCTCAACCCCAAGTCCCCCACCATCACCCTCCCAGCGCCCCCACCCCTGTCACCATGTCCCCAGGCAGGGGGACAACCCGTTTTCCTGCCTCTGCTCCCCGTGTCCTGCAGCAGCAGCAAGGAGCCCCACTGCCCCCTCTCCTCCCCAGCTGCTGGGGGCAGAAGGAGGGTGATGGTGGTCCCAAAGCCTCGGGCACACACAGGTCCCCCCCACCCACCAGGAAACTCCCAAGGCACCGTGGCCTCCACCAAACCTTCATCCTTGAGCGTGCCAGGAGGGAGAAGGGCAGGATGGTCTCTTGGCAAGGACCCCACAGCTCCAAACCTCTTCCCAAGCCCACCACGGGGGATCCAGGCACCCCCAGACCCTCCCCCAAGCTCCAAACCTCTTCCCAAGCCCAGCACGGGGAGGTCTAGGCACCCCCAGAACTCCCCAAATCCTCACTCCCCTTCCCCCTCAACAGCAGGCAGCCTCCAAATCTCCCCCCAAAAAAGACACCTCCTGCGTCCCTGGTTTGTCCATCAATCCATCACTGTAGCAACTCCTCCCAGGAGATGGGTCTGGAGAAGACCTCCCTCTCCAGCCACAGGTCATAGTTGACCTGGAAGTCCTCAGGCAGGTCCACACGTTGGCCCAGCACACTCTGCAGGCAGTTGTCCACGGGCAGAAAATCAGGATTGCTGTGGGCTCGGTCATAGCGCCGGGAGTTGAAGCGCTCGATGCTGGCACGAAGGGCACACTCCTCAGCCTGGAAATCCCAGGGACGAGCATCCAGGTCTGGGAAGAAGGAAAAAGTGGGGGTCACACAGGAGCTGGGGGCTCTGCTGCCTCACTAGGGCCTTGGAAACGTGCAGGGTGTGGAGCAGGCAGCCACCAATGGCTCCAGCAGTGGCCACCACCAGCCCTTTCCCTCTTCTCCGTGATGTTGTCTCCACAAATCCCTCCCTGAACAGTCTAAGGAGCAAAGGGACAAGTCTGGGCATGGAAATGTCACTGCCTGGAGCAGGAAGGATGGCAGGTGACAGGACACAAGAGCTTCTCAACATAAGGAGGACATGGAGCTGTTGGAGAGAGTCCAGAGGAGCCATGGAAATGAGGCAAGGCTGGAGCAGCTCTGCTCTGGAGCCAGGCTGGGAGAGTTGGGGTGTTCAGCCTGGAGAAGAGAAGGCTCCAGGGAGACCTGAGAGCAGCTTCCAGTGCCTGAAGGGGCTCCAGGAAAGCTGGGAAGGGACTTGGGACAAGGGCAGGGAGGGATGGGATGAGGGGGATGGATGAAAAGTGGGAGAGGGAGATTGAGGTTGGAGATGAGGAGGAAATTCTTTGGTGTGAGGGTGGTGAGAGCCTGGCCCAGGTTGCCCAGGGAAGCTGTGGCTGCCCCATCCCTGGCAGTGTTGAAGGGCAGGTTGGATGGGGCTTGGAGCAACCTGGTCTGGGGTGAGGTGTCCATGGCAATGGGGACTGGGTGATTCTGAAGGTCCCTTCCCACCCATCCCATGCCTCCATGGCACTGCAGCCACCCCCCAGGCCGTACCATTGCCATAGGCCCAGTCATCGTTGAGGCGGTGCCGGACCTTCTGGTAGATGGCTGACATGGTCTTCATGTTGCTCTTCCTCCACTGCCTGCCCAGGTACTTGGTCTGGACCTTGAGGAGCTTCAGGACATAGAGCTGCATCATGGCCTGCTTCACCTTCAGCGCCCGCTTCAGGATGGGTGCAGACTTGAACACCACCAGCATCTGCAGGGGACAGGGAGGTGACACAGCTGCGACGGGGACGCGGCACCCAGTTCCTCCAGCACACACAGACCTCTTCCACCCATCTCACCACCCCAGTAAGGTCAAGGGGGCACACCAAGACATCCCCAGACCTCTCACCCAGCCCAAGCCCCCCCGTGAGGGCCCAGCCTGCAGCTCCACGGGGTTCCCCAGCCCTCACCATGGTGCGGGAGTGTTTCCACTTGGTCAGCTTGTTCAGGATGCGCAGGAGGTTGATGCAGGAGAAGAGGTTCCTCCAGCAGAACTGGTTGTTGTCTCCAGCTTCCTGTGGGAAAGCAAAAGCAGGAGTCAGGGAAGAGATGGGAGAAGTGATGAGGAGATGCTGTTCTGGTCCAAGGACCTTTGGCCAAAGGGGCAGGGCACAGCAGGCAGGAGACATTTGGCTGCTCCAGGGGCCGAGCACAGGAGTCGTGAGGGTGGCAGGGCTGGGTGCTGGAGCTCTGCTGCCTCCCTGCACCCATGAGCCACCCTGCTGGAGAGAGTCCAGAGGAGCCATGGAAATGAGCCAAGGCTGGAGCAGCTCTGCCCTGGAGCTAGGCTGGGAGAGTTGGGGTGTTCAGCCTGGAGAAGAGAAGGCTCCAGGGAGACCTTAGAGCAGCTTCCAGTGCCTGAAGGGACTCCAGGAAAGCTGGGGAGGGACTTGGGACAAGGGCAGGGAGGGATGGGATGAGGGGGATGGATGAAAAGTGGGATAGGAAGATGGAGGTTGGAGATGAGGAGGGAATTCTTTGGTGTGAGGGTGGTGAGAGCCTGGCCCAGGTTGCCCAGGGAAGCTGTGGCTGCCCCATCCCTGGCAGTGTTGAAGGGCAGGTTGGATGGGGCTTGGAGCAACCTGGGCTGGTGGGAGGTGTCCCTGCCTGTGGCAGCTGGGACTGGATGATCTTGAAGGTCCCACCCAACCCAAACCAGTGTGGGATTGTGGGAAGCACCCTGGGGTGCCAGGGCCTGACAGAGCAGGCAGTGACTCACCAGGCTCTCTGCTGTCAGCTCAGGCAGCTCGTGCACCACGCAGTACGGGTAGTCCAGGACAGAGATGCTGCAGGAAAAGAAGGGCTGTCCTGCTGCTCCCCCATACCCTGCCTGGCCCCACATGTCCCACCCACCACGGATCAGCTGCCGTGGGAGGGGTTAAGCATGCAGAGATCCCCCTCCCCACCCTCAGCAGGGACATGGGTGGGCACTCTCCTTCACTACCTGTTCTTGGCAGTGATGTAGGACATGATGTTCTGGTTGAAGAACTTCAGAATGAGCGGGATGCAGTTGGCAAAGACCAGATGCTGGGCCATGTACTCAAACTGGGGAGAAAAGTGGGTGAATGGGGACCTGCCGTGGGTCCTGCTCAGCCCCAGAGCCCTGTGCAGGGTGGCCAGACTCTGGCCCACCTCACCTGGTAGATGTGATTGAGCTTGAAGTGCTTGAGCAGGAGGAGCAGCACGGCAGAAATGGCTTTGACGATGATCTCCTTGTGCCGGTTGACGTCCACCCCCAGCTTCATGCTCTGCAACACTGTGGTCCTGGGGACACAGAGGGACCATTGGGCTGGGCAACTGTCTGCACCCAGACAGCCCTGGAGGTGTCAGGGGACAATCCTGCCATTCTCTGGGCTCTCAGCAGCCACCTTCTGCACCACTGAACAGCTCCTGGCACACCACCGAGAGATGGTCAAATCACCCAGGAATCAGAGGATCATGGGATGGTTTGGGTTGGAAGGGAACTTCAATATCATCCAGTTCCAACCCCCCTGCATGGGCAGGGACACCTCCCACCAGCCCAGGTTGCTCCAAGCCCCATCCAACCTGCCCTTCAACACTGCCAGGGATGGGGCAGCCACAGCTTCCCTGGGCAACCTGGGCCAGGCTCTCACCACCCTCACACCAAACAATTCCCTCCTCATATCTCATCTAAACTTCTCCTCTTCCAGTTTTCATCCATCCCCCTCATCCCATCCCTCCCTGCCCTTGTCCCAAGTCCCTCCCCAGCTTTCCTGGAGCCCCTTCAGGCCCTGGAAGCTGCTCTCAGGTCTCCCTGGAGCCTTCTCTTCTCCAGGCTGAACACCCCAACTCTCCCAGCCTGGCTCCAGAGCAGAGCTGCTCCAGCTCTCGGATCATCTCTGTGATTTCCTCCGGACCCTCTCCAGGAGCTCCATGTCCTTCTTGTGTTGAGAGCTCCAGAACTGGCCACATTCCAGCCACAGCCCCAACCATGTACCCCCTGCCTGGCTCCTTCCTGTGCCCCCTTCCCTTCCCACCACCAGCCAGCACCCCCGTGGTCACTCACGGCATCTCCTCCGGCAAGACATCTGCCAGGATGTTGATGGAATCAGTCTTGGCTTTGGAGGTGGGGGCTGCAGCCAGGAGGATCTTCAGCAGAGCAATCTGGGGAGAAGGGAGAGATGGAAAAGGGAAAATGAGACTGGCCATAGGCCCCTGCTGCAGGAGGAAGGAACAGGGATGTGGGGAGGGAAGAAAACTGCGAGGTATGACTGGAAAGGGATGGAGCAATGGAGGGAGGCCCCTCCATGGAGCTCAGGGACCCCCCAGTGCTCCCCAGCTCACCATGTACTGGGGCAGGCTGGGCAGCAGGCCCTGGTACAGAATCTCTGCAGGAACTTGCTCCACTTCTTCTTCCCCCTGGGACCAGAAGAGACCAGAAATCCTCACACCAGGAGCTGCCACCATCGCCACAGGCTGGGCTCAGCCTCAGGCCTCCCCACGTCCTCTTTCCCAAATAAACCACTTGTCTTCCCCCATGGAGCAAACCCCCCAGCTCTGCCAAAAGCCCTGGTGGGACCAAGTGTCTCCAGCTCCAAAGCCTGGGAGCTCCATCCCACCCTGATCCCCACACTCACCCCAGATAGCGGGGAGCGCAGAAACTCCTCCTCCATGTGCACCTGCACCTCTGCGATCGACGTGTACTTGTGCTGCAAGCGGGGAGAACAGGGGTCACACCAGGGACCCCCCTGAGATGCCACCAGCCCCAGCCTGGGCCCACCAGCTTTTTAAGACCCTCCCTGTTACTCCTGTCCAGTGGTGACCAATGTTGATGGGCAGGGTGTGGCTGCTGGCCTCACCTCTGAGACAACCCCAGGGTGGAAGGGATGAAATCAGGAAGGGACAAAGACAGGAAGGAAATGAACTTGGCCAGCCTAGGAGACCAGGAATGGGATGATAACTTGAGGTGTGTCCCATCACAGGGCTGAGCAAGAAGGAGAGGGGACAGGAAAATAAATCACTGGCCCTGATCTGTGATGGGGGATGGGGAAGTGGCACCCAGGGTGAGGATCTGGTCAATGTACTCACCAGCTTCAGAGTTCGGATGCTCTCGTGGATGGGCCTGGGCAAGCCCACCACGGTGTTGGTGTCACTAGAGAGAGGAGAAAGAGCCCAGTTGGCTGCAGGCAGAGCCAACCTGAGCCTCCCCCACAGGCAGGACAGAGACCACCACCCCAGGAAGGAGCCAGTGAGCTCAGGACTCCCATGTGGCCAAGCAGAGGGCAACAGCAGCCCCCAAATCAGTAGCCTGTGTAGCAGCGAAATCAACAGCAGCCCCCTCAATTCCACAGTCCTCCCCCCAAAATCAGCATCTCCCCCTTCACCTCCCCACATCAGCAGCCCCCCAGGCTGGCTCTGCAGGAACCCACCTGCCCAGCGTGTAGCCGATGAACTTGCTGCGACTGGACTCCAGGAACATCTCAATGTCCTTCTCTCTGCAGCAAAGGGACAAAGGGAATGAGTCACACCTGGGTACCCATGAGTCCTGGGGATCACCTCATGGGCAGGTAAAGGATCATGGGATGGTTTGGGTGGGAAGGGAACTTAAAGATCATCCAGTTCCAACCCCCTGCATGGGCAGGGACACCTCCCACCAGCCCAGGTTGCTCCAAGCCCCATCCAACCTGCCCTTCAACACCCCCAGGGATGGGGCAGCCACAGCTTCCCTGGGCAACCTGGGCCAGGCTCTCACCACCCTCACACCAAAGAATTCCCTCCTCAGCTCCAACCTCCATCTCCCTCTCCCACTTTTCATCCATCCCCCTCATCCCATCCCTCCCTGCCCTTGTCCCAAGCCCCTCCCCAGCTTTCCTGGAGCCCCTTCAGGCACTGGAAGCTGCTCTAAGGTCTCCCTGGAGCCTTCTCTTCTCCAGGCTGAACACCCCAACTCTCCCAGCCTAGCTCCAGAGCAGAGCTGCTCCAGCCCTCCCATCATCTCCGTGGCCTCCTCCTGACCCTCTCCAGGAGCTCCATGTCCTTGCTGAGCCCACCCCACCAAAAGAACAGCCACCAAAGTGACCAGTAGATAAACCACCCCATCTCTAACATCTTCCCCACTTCCCTGCTGAAGTTCTTCATATGCAACAGCCTCTGTTCTCTGCCTTCTCCAGCTCTCCCCACGGGTCAGCCCCACCACTCACCTGACCTTGGGGGCCCAGGGCAGCCCCTTCGGGCAGGTGATGCGGTCACTGGGGGGGTGCTGGATGGGGGGAGGCATCACTTCATCCCGTTCCAGGGGGAAGGTCTCTCCCTCCAGGCTGTTGTCATCATCATTCTCCTCTTCTTCCTCACGGGAGTCATCAGCTTTGTAAGGGTCCCGCTCGTTGAAGGCATCCAGGTTGTCCTGCTTAATCAGAGCCTGGAGAGACAAGAGCAGGGTTAGGGTTTGGGTGGGCCTGGCAAATTTGGTGACACCAACAGGAGGAACTAGAGAGAGGGTCTTTAGGACCCTGAAGGACCTGAGAGGGTTGATCAGAGAGGGGTCAGGATTTCCTCTCACTTCCTGCCCTACTAGAAGAGCCAGAACTGGAAGCCCAGTCCCCTTTTCCCTGTGCCCTTCTTGCTGCTGCTGCTGAGCTCAGAGGCTCCTGGTTTCCCCTCAACTCGTCACGTGCTCCACAGAATCCAACTCCATCAGGTGCTGAGAATTGCTGGGGACCCCCCTCCAGAGCCAGCCCTGCCACAAGGGACCCTCACCCACCTATTCTTGCCATCATCAGGATTGGTGTTCATAGAATCATGGGATGGGTTGGGTGGGAAGGGACTTTCAAGATCATCCAGATCCAACCCCCTGCATGGGCAGGGACACCTCCCACCAGCCCAGGCTGCTCCAAGCCCCATCCAACCTGCCCTTCAACACCCCCAGGGATGGGGCAGCCACAGCTTCCCTGGGCAACCTGGGCCAGGCTCTCACCACCCTCACACCAAAGAATTCCCTCCTCATCTCCAACCTCAATCTCCCTCTTCCACTTTTCATCCATCCCCTCATCCCATCCCTCCCTGCCCTTGTCCCAAGCCCCTCCCCAGCTTTCCTGGAGCCCCTTCAGGCACTGAAAGGTCCTCTAAGGTCTCCTTGGAGCCTTTAGCTGAATCTAAGTGTATATTTATTTTATCTGTTCTTCACTCCACGTTTCTCCCCTTTCCATGTTCCAGCAAACCTGTTCCAGTTTTAATTTCCAGCCTTTATGTCTCTCTTCCTTATTCCCCTTTTATCTTCCCTTGAGAGGGTGAAGAGGGGGGATAACAAGAGAGCAATTCATAGAATCCTTAGGATTGGAAGGGACCTCTAGAAATCACCCAGTTCAACTCCCCTGCTAAAGCAGGATCACCTGGAGCACATTCCACAGGGCTGCATCCAGCAGGGTTTGGAATATCTCCAGAGAAGGAGACTCCACAGCCTCCCTGGGCAGCCTGGCCCAGGGCTCTGTCACCCTCACAGGAAATAAGTTTTCCCTCATATTTAAGTGGCACTTCTCATGTTCCAGTTTGTGCCCGTTGCCCCTCGTCCTGTCACTGGGAAATACTGAGCTCCATCCTCCTGTACCCACCCTTTGGATACTTACAGGCATTATTAAGGTCACCCCTCCAGGCTGAACAGTCCCAGCTTTTCCAGCCTTTCCTCATCAGGGAGATGCTCCAATCCCCCAGTCATCTTTGTTCCCCTCCCCTGGACTCTCTCCAGCAGTTCCCTGTCTCTCCTGAACTGGGGAGCCCAGAACTGGTCCCAGTTCTCCAGCTGTGGCCTCACCAGGGCAGAATAAAGGGGATGACCTCTCTCAGCCACACTCTTCCCTATGCACCCCAGGATCCCATTGGCCTTCTGGGCAACAAGGGCACATTCCTGGCTCATGGATCATTTACTACCAAGACTCCCAGCTCCTTCTGCCCAGAACTCCTTCCCAGCAGGTCCACCCCTAACCCTCATTTTGCCCTCTGGTTTGTGGTTCACCCTGACCTCCAAACCTACACCAGCAGGTAGGTGACAACCCTGAGGGAAAAATTGCTCCAGTGTCACTGTCCCCAGGGTCAGCCTCACCTTGTGTTCCCTCCGGCCTCTCTTCTGCTGCTGCTCGATGAGGTCGGAGGCAGAGGCAGGGGGCGACGCTGCCCGCATGTTGCGGATCACCTTGATGCTGTCCTCGGGCAGAGGGGGCAGGCCCAGGATCTCCCTCTTCTCTGCTTTCATGCTCTGCAGCTCCTCAAACCCCCCCAGGGTGCACTGCAAAGGAGATCACAGCACCCTAAGCACTGGGGGACTCCTTGAAATGTGATTTCTCACCCCCCAACTCTGCTCTCCTGGAGTCCTAAATCCTTTCCCGGGGTGAGGAACAAGAGCTGCCTGTTCCCAAGAAGGGACAAGAGGGTGTTCAGGCAGCCACAGCTGAAGTGTCTGGACCTCCTCCTTCATGCATACACCAGATGGGGGCCTTGTTTTGGGTTCATCCTTGGTATCCACCTCCAGACACCAATATCTAACACTCCTCTATGGGATGAAACCTAGGGGTGGATTAACAGGGCACAAACGACTCAGCTGATGGACAGCAAAAGAGGATGGAGCAAATACAGCCAGCTCCAAGGACAGAACTTCCCTTCCTCTGCCAAACAAAACCCCAAGAGACCTGTGTCAGCACAGCCCACCACCTCTCCTTACCAGCACAGTCTTCCAGAGCAAGAGCAGAACCTTCTTCATGGGGAAATGTGGAGCGTGGCCACTGCAGAACTTGGTCACCATCCCAAAGAGCATAACAGAGAAGGGCTCGTTGTTGTACAGGGGGGCTCCTGGAACCAGATGGCAGTGACAGTCAGAACATCCATGTCTCTGTCCTCACCCCAGCCACCACACCCCTGCACCCTCACAGGCCTCTGCAGTCTCACATTCCCCATCAACAAAACTGGACCTTGAGCAACATGGTCTAGTGGGACGTGTCCCTGCCCATAAAGGGGCTGGAACTACATGATCTTTGAGGTCCCTTCCAACCCAAATTAGTCTGGGATTCTATGGTCCTCATCTCACCCAGACAGCTCCTCTCCTCCTGTCCAAGGCCTTGTAACCTCCATAATTGCTTATTTCTGTGTTGAGAAGAAACAACAGCCCCAATACTCTATTCTTTTGCCCCAGGGAGAGAGCAACCAGACAGCAGAAAAGCTTGGCTGCCTTCCTCTGCTCATCCTCCTCTGCCCCACCAGCAAGGCTCAGCCCAGTAGGAACCAACCCAGTGCTGCCAGTCCCTATTAACTGGGACCTAGAACCAAGATAGAAGAGAGGAGTTTGAGGTTGGAGATGAGGAGGAAATTCTTTGGTGTGAGGGTGGTGAGAGCCTGGCCCAGGCTGCCCAGGGAAGCTGTGGCTGCCCCATCCCTGGCAGTGTTGAAGGGCAGGTTGGATGGGGCTTGGAGCAGCCTGGGCTGGTGGGAGGTGTCCCTGCCCGTGGTAGTTGGATCTAGATGATCTTGAAGATCCCTTCCCACCCAAACCACTCTGTGATTCTATGATTCTTCAGCCCTGGAAACCTCCATCAAGCCTCAGGAGCCTGCTCCTCACCCAGCTCTGCTCTGAAGGTCTGTCTCATGCTCTTCCACTCAGGTTTGTCCCCCTCAGCCTCCTGCCGAACAGTCTCCACGATCAGGTACATGATGTTCAGCAACACCCTGCAAAAAACCAGAAGGTTGGATGAATCATCAGAGGGTTTGGGATGAGTTATGAAGGCACCACCAGCACCCAGGGCTCTGGGGGGAGCCTGGGTCAGCCCAACCATGGCCTGTTCCCATGCACCCACTCCACACCAGGAGAAATGGTCTCAGGAAGGTCTCTGCAAGTCAAAGTAGGAGAAAATAATCCCTTTTCCACACTTGACTGCTTTTATGTCCCTCACCAGCCACGTGCTTCAGCAGAGGGGACATCTCTGGACTGAGCAGACCTGAGCACTGGAACAGGCTTCCCACAGAGGTTGTGGAGTCTCCTTCTCTGGAGACAATTTTCAAGACCTGTCTGGATGCCTTTCTGAGTGACCTGCCCTAGTTTGTTTGGTTTGGGATTTTTTGGTTGTTTCCTTTGTTCCTAATGGCAGGGGGGGTTGGACTCGATGACCTTCAGAGGTCCCTTCTAACCCCTGACATTCTGGGACTCTCTTGAGTGCACCTGAGGGTGCTGATGGAGCTGGGACAGCCCCAGGACAGGGATCTGGCGCCTGTTGACCTGTCAAAGCCCATCAAAGGAAGCAGGAAACATGGGGTCCCCTCTTTGCCCCTCCATCCCAAGCCCTGCTCCCTACCTCAGGTCCGTGCTGTCAGCCAGGGAGATGGCCGGTTTCCTCACGGCGCTGCTGCAGGCTGCACTGTTACTGGGGGGAAAACAACCTCTGAGGGGGCTGAGGTGACACTGCACCCTGCCACCAGCACCCCCACCCTGGGCCAAAGCCACAGCCTGAAGCACAGAATTCCCTTGGCTGGAAAAAGCTTTCAGATCCTCCAGTCCAACCAAACCACCACTGACCCCTGTCCCTCAGCGTCACATTCTACATGCCTTGGAAAGCCCTCCAGGATGGGAGAGTTGGGGTGTTCAGCCTGGAGAAGGGTCCAAGGAGACCTCAGAGCACCTTCCAGGGCCTGAAGGGGCTCCAGGAAAGCTGGGGAGGGACTTGGGACCAAGGAGAGCAGTGACAGGACAAGGGGTGATGGTTTTAAACTGAAAGAGGGGAGATTCAGGTCAGACATCAGGAAGAAATTCTTCACCATGAGGGTAGGAAGGTGGTAGAACAGGTTGCCCAGGGAGGTTGTTGATGCCCCCTCCCTGGAGGTGTCCAAGGGCAGGGTGGATGAGGGTTGTGCAGCCTGGTCTGGTGGGAGGTGTCCCTGCCCATGCAGGGAGTTTGGAACTGGATGATCTTTAAGGTCCCTTCCAACTTTACACATTCTATGGACTCCCCCCCTGCCCTGGGCAGCCTGGGCAGGGCCTGACAACCCTTGCCAGGAAGAAATTGTTCCCAAGATCCAACCTCAACCTCCCCTGGTGCAACTTGAGGCCATTTCCTCCTCTTCTATCATTTGTTCCTGGGGAGCAGAGCCTGACCCCCTTGGCTCCAACCTCCTCTCAGCAGCTGCAGAGCCAGAAGGTCTCCCCTCAGCCTCCTTTGCTCCAGGCTGGACACCCCCAGCTCCCTCAGCTGCTCCTCAGAGGTTCTCCAGACCCTTCTCCTTGTTCTCCAGGCCCTTCTCCTGGTTCTCCATCCCCTTCCCCAGCTCTGTTTCCCTTCTCTGGATACTCTCCAGCCCCTCAATGTCCTTCTTGTCCTGAGGGGCCCAGAACTGACCCCAGGATTCAAGGTGCAAACACAGTGTAAGAGATACTGCTGCAATGAGTCCCCTTCTCACAGTGCAATGGAGGGAGGGGAAACTGACATTATTTGCTGCCAGGCAGGATTTGTCTAAATCAAGTATAATCCAACATTATTTACCCACCCAGAACAACAAAAGTCATTCCAGTGGCTGCAGGGCTCAGATTAAGAATAGACAGACCAGGAACTGCCACAACCTGGAAAAATACCCCTACGAAAGAGCTCCAGAGCTATTTGTTAAGCATCTCACCCCCCAGTACTCACTCAATCTCCATGTTGAGCAGCTCCACCAAAGCATTGAAGGTTCCCACTTCCAGCAAGAGGAAGATGTTGTACCTCATCCAGGCCTGCACCTCAGCCTCGGAGCTGCACTCCCCAAACGTGCCTGCAAAGACCCCGGGCTGGATCCCACCTCCTCAGGGACCCCAGGGCCCTCCCACCCCCCCTGAGGATTTTGTAGGTGGATTGGAACACATAGCTTTAATTTGAAGGCAAAAACTGGGATGGAACTGGCCAGGTCTGGAAGAACTGGGATAGCACAGGGAAGTCAGGCAAATTTTGGATCAAACTCTCACAAAGTGGCTCCCACAAGAATTTGCTTCATTCTGTTCATCCCAGGGGAATTATTTTAAATAAATAAATAAACTCTGCTCTGGAGCCAGGCTGGGAGAGTTGGGGTGTTCAGCCTGGAGAAGAGAAGGCTCCAGGGAGACCTTAGAGCACCTCCCAGTGCCTGAAGGGGCTCCAGGAAAGCTGGGGAGGGACTTGGGACAAGGGCAGGGAGGGATGGGATGAGGGGGATGGATGAAAAGTGGAAGAGGGAGACTGAGGTTGGAGATGAGGAGGGAATTCTTTGGTGTGAGGGTGGTGAGAGCCTGGCCCAGGTTGCCCAGGGAAGCTGTGGCTGCCACATCCCTGGCAGTGTTGAAGGGCAGGTTGGATGGGGCTTGGAGCAGCCTGGGCTGGTGGGAGGTGTCCCTGCCCATGCAGGGGGTTGGAACCTGATGATCTTGAAGTTCTCTTCCAACCCAAACCATTCCATGATTCTATGAAATGGACAGCTTCCAATCCACTACCCAGGGCTGGCAGTGGGAAAATGAAGGGGGCAGAGGAGCTGGTGTCACCTTGGGCAACATAAAGGATGGCTCGGGCAACCCTCAGCCTCTTCTCCCGCGCCGTGACCTCCAGCCCATCCAGCAGCCTCATGGCGTGGGTGCGGTGCTGGTTCTTGTCCAGCTCGGTCCATTTCTGGTCCCTCACTGCAAAATCAAAGCAGGTTGAGGGGCACAGGGCACCTATGCCTGCCCTGGACACCAAGGTGGCTGGAAAAAGCTCCAAAGGATTCAGTTTGGCAGAAAATTTCTTCGCTGTGAGGGTGGTGAGAGCCTGGCCCAGGTTGCCCAGGGAAGCTGTGGCTGCCCCATCCCTGGCAGTGTTGAAGGGCAGGTTGGATGGGGCTTGGAGCAGCCTGGGCTGGTGGGAGGTGTCCCTGCCCATGCAGGGGGTTGGGACTGGGTGATCTTTATGGTCCCTTCCAACCCAAAACATCCCATGATTCTATGAAAACAGGGCTGCCTCAGGGTACACTCTGCTCTACCAGCCCAGAGGGAACATCTCCTCCCTTCCACCAGAGGACTGGATGAATCCCACCCATCCCAACAGCACTGCCAGCTGATGGGAAAGGAGCTGGATCCTCTTGCTTCTGCCACTATGTTCCAGCACAGCCACCTTGGCATGAATGAACCACCTTGGACTTCAACACCAGGACCAACCCACACACACTGATCAGGTCTCCAGTACAACCCCAGTGCAGACTATCCATGCCCAGCTCAACGTTCTGCTCCACCATTCACTAACCAACCCCTGTGTCTCCTTCAGGAGATCCCTGTCCCTCCCCAGAGGTCCAAGAGAAGCTCTTACCATGGATCCTGAAATCCTCCTCGAAGCATCTGCGGTTGAGCAGGAATTCTGGCCCCTCTGTGTAGCTGTACAGCTCTGCCAAACAAAAACAAAACCAGAGGAAAAACCTCCAACCAGCTGGACTGAGCTGCTGGGAAGAGCTGCCACCCAGTCCCCTCATTCCAAGTTCCACCCAAGATGAGGGAAATGCAAAACACACACTTAGCATAAAGCTCAAAACATGAATGACATGATCTCGCTTCTCCTTCTGTGTCAAGAAGGTCTTGAAAACAACCCCCGAGTCAGGCTGGAGTTGAGGGAGCTCCTCAAATCATCACCAGGAATGATCAAGTCATGAATGAAAAGAATTAATCCACCAGGACTTACCAGAGAGCTCTGCTGCCCATTTATCAGTGTCTGCATATTCAAACTCCAGGTCTGGGGACTCCGAATAGCCCTGAAAAACCAAGGTAAAAAGTCAGTGAAATGAAGAGTTTCCCAGGAAAACCACCCCTCCCCTCCCCCAAATATTCACAATTCACCTTCTCCTGCAAACCCAGGATTGTGTTTTTCTGGTGAAAAGACCAAAAATGGACTCGCAGCAGCAGAGATGTTACCAAGGCAACTCCCACCCACCTCCTGCACATGCCTATCCCAGCTCATCCCAGCTCCACCACACTGAGCCAGGCTGTGCTTGGCTGGTGGGCAACCCCTGCCTCTGCACCACCTCCAAAACATTCCAGGAGCCTCCCAAATAGCCCCCCGAAAAAAGAGGAGGTGATGGGGTGTGTTGGATCTTGGGGTGGGAGCAGGTTCTTTGCAGCCAGGGAGCTCTCAGAGCTCACCCATTTTGAGGAGTCCCATAGGCTAACCCCCCCCACCAGTGCCAACTGGTGGGATGTGAATGGGGAGAATAGACCAATTCCAGCTTTTGGGGAGGCTGGAAAAACAACCAGGAGATGCCTTAGAGCACAAACCAACTGTTCACTTTAAGTAAGTCACCAAGGTGGACCCACAGGAAAACCCTTCTGACCCTCAGGGGACACAATCAACAGCTGGTGGGCTCCACAGGGCCAGATGTTCTCCATTCCCTGGCTCCTGAGGTTCAGGCAGACCTCTCCCCACCATTTTGGGAAGCATTCCCCACCCCAGTGAGGATGGATAGGACTGGGCAGCTCTGGAGCCATCCCAGGAATGCAACTAGATTTGGAGCCCATGATGGAAAAAGCTGTGGAAATAAATCCAGTCCTACCCAAACCTCCTGAGACCCCACAGCTCAGGGATCCCCACCAGGACCTTGGTGGCTCCTTGATGGGTCTTGGGGGGATGAGCCAACCCTGGACCGACCTGACACTTGGAGACCCAACAACCCAGTACCGGGCCAGCACCGAGGGGCAAAGCCGGGGGGGGGAAAAGCCCCAGCAGGGGGGCTGAGAGCCCAGAGCAGCCCTGGAAGGAGCGTGGCCAGTGCCAGCCCCGCTCAGTGGCCCAAGATCGAGCCACCCTCCCACTCCAGACAGGTCCAACCCACCCACGGATGTGGGGAAGAGATGGATGGAAGGGAAACCGGCACCACCCGAGCCCGGTTCGGGCCGGTACCGCAGAGACCTGGCACGGAACGGCCTTCCGGATCCACAGCCCCGGGGCCAGCGAGCCAGGCCGGGCCTTTGGGCTGCAGGGAACCGGTACCCGAGCGGCGGGGGGGGGGGGGGG